AGTGGTATTAATATTTCATCTGGTAATCTTGACAAATTGACACATATTATTTTATTCAGATGAGCTGCAGTTAAAATTAAGACAACACAAATATTTTTACTAATTGTGTTATAGAGTCTATAAAGAGTCGCCGTAATCTTATGGGTTGCAAAACTATATGGAAAGAAAGGAAATACCTATACTAGTTTGGGATTGATGCATTACCAAGTGTACTTCCAACATATGGTCTAATCTGTACTTCCTTGGAAGGCCATTCAATCCAGTAGTGTTGTAAAGAGTTATTTATAGAGCAACATTCATTACACTTCGTTGCTGAAATCCAACCTGATCTTGCATCCATACTATCTTTTAATTGTTGTTTAATTTTAGTAGTTGGTTACCAACTCTCGCAAATATATTTTATCTCTGAAGCTTTATTTCTTCCAAAAACCTTTTTCTGAAATCTCACTTTAAAGTTAACTTTTGTGACTCTCTTTGCAATTTAAATCTCTGTGGAACGATATTTGGTATTACTTACCATTATTACTTGCTTTGGATAATACTTATGAGTCATGTATATTTGCATGATTTACTTGTTAATATAGCCTTTTGAGGGTATAGTTATCCACACACCAGGATACATAATTTGGGTAGACTATCATGAGGTGTTTGCTCCTGCAATTAGAATTGAGACTATACACTTAGTCCTTGCTTTAGCAGCCCAAAACAATTAGAGAGTTCACCAAATGGATGTTAAGTTTGCATTCTTGAACGACTACTTAAAGATGGATGTTTACATTGATCAACCCATTGGGTACATAAAAAGGGGGGGGGGGAAAGAAGGTTTGCCATCTCAAAAAAGCCGTATATGGGTTGAAACAGACACCTCGTGCCTGATTCAGCCAAATTGATTGCTATTTTCACAAAAAAATGGATTTAGAATATGCACATTTGAGCATAATCAAAAGATGCAAGGATGATGTGCTGATTCTATGCTTATATGTTGATGATTTAGTGATCACTAGCAATTCTCATGAGATGATAAGATCACTTAAAGAATCTATGAAGCTTGAGTTCGAGATGACAAACATGGGTTTGTTACACTACTTCTTGGGGCATTGAAGTAAAACAACAAGAAGGTATGATCTCTATCTCACAACAAAAGTATGCAAAAGAACTATTGTCTGAATTCAATCTGGAATAATGCTACTCCTGCCTCAACTCCCATGGAGTTTGATTGAAATTATCCAAGGAAAGCATTGAAGAAAGTGTTGATTCCACAATTTATAGAAGTCTAGTAGGTAGTTTAATGTACCTAACTGCATCTAGGCCCGATATCACTTTCCTAATTAGCTTGATTAGCCACTTCATGGAATGTCCTAAAACAAGTCACTCGGAAGCAGGAAAGCGTATTCTACGCTTCATCAAAGGAACACTCAATCATGGGATTGTTTATTCTAAGTGTGCCAATCCTAAGTTAATTGGTTATAGCCACACTGATTATGGAGGAAGTTTTGAAGACAACAAAAGCACTACGGGCTACATATTTAATCTCGGGACAAGTACTATCTCTTGGCAATCAAAAAAACAAAATGTTGTTGCCTTATCAAAAACTAACGTGGGAGAAATAATTAAGAGAGTCAATAAGAGTTTAATGATAGAGAATATTATCAAGGTTTATGGACAAGTTGGCAAATGCTGATCAGTAAGAATGTGAAAAAAATATGAGTCGTTGAGATCTAATAAGAATAAATAATGAATGAGACATGTAATTTGCAAGCTCAAGAAATCGTTGCTTGAATACTTAAATAGAATCTTGTGGTGTGTAGTGAAATCTCAATTAAAGATGAAAAAAATCAAACAATTGATGATAATATTTGAATTTTTTTTCCTTCTTTTCTTCCTCTACTAAAATAATATGTTAGGATTAAAAATTTATAGAAAATGACATATATAACAAACATTAGGCTGATACATTAAATTGTGAAAATTTATTGATTAATCACAAAACCATGAAACACATCATAACTTATAAAAACAATAAATAAATTGTCAAACAATAGTATAATATCATTTGTAGAAGCAAAAATAGATAGCAGTAGCCAACAAAAACAATTACGCAAACAACATAAGCAAATAACAATAGTTAATAGAAGCAAAAATAGATAAAAAAATCCAACAAAAACATATAGCAATAGCAAACGTATGAGCTTAAAGTTATTATTCGTTGAATTCTTGAAGCAAAGAAGCGGTCCGACATATAGAGATAGCAATAATCAATAGCATTGAATTTTGGTATCAGACAAAAAGACTTTGAAAGCAATACGCAATGACGTATAACAAATGACCAACTAACTTTTTTGATCTTTTTCTCTAATATAATTAGTTAATATGGACCGTTATTATATACTAAATTCTTTTTGTCTGTTATTATATGCTATATGTTTTTGGGTCTCTTTAATATTATTGATTTTTTGGACTATTATTGTGTACCCAGAAAAAATTGAACCCCTACTATTTTTGGGCCTGGGCATGCGCCCGTGTCACCCTCCCCTAGGGACGGTCTTCATTTTAGTGAACACAAACACAAAAAATTTCACATTGTGAACAATTAGACCCCTATATGTTAATATTAGAAACAACGAGTAGTTCAATCGGTCAGAACACCACCCTGTCAAGGTGGAAGTTGTGGAGATCGATTCTAAGCATGGCTGCTAATCAAAAAATGCTGGCGAGAGTGTTTACCTTACTACCCACCTACCTCATAGATTACCTTCAAGAAGAACAAAAATCTGTAATCACCAGCTAAGGCCCCTAAATGACCCTTGGGCGTTTCAGCGAGCGCTAAAAACTACTGTAGAGCTATTTATGAATGTCTTCGTAGTGGCCTTGGGCAAAAATATATTTTAATGCCCAAAAATGCCATTACATGTAAAAAGAAATCAAGTCATAGCCATCAATAACAATTTACAATGCAATCCGAAGATTATTTTTTAATAGAGAAAAAGGATTAGCAAACGCTGTCCCAAATTTTATGCACATAGTCCAAAGAAGGGCTCCTGAAAACAACATATTGGATCATGGAAGGTATGGAGATCAGGGACGGACCCACAATTTTTTTCAAATGATGGCACCATTTAGCTATAAGAAACAAGTATAAGGAATTTTTTTTTTCAAACTATGACACCCTTTGACTAAGAAAATGACACTAATAGGATTCGAACTCGAGCCTGGGGTGGAATAAGAGTCTTGCAAACCAACTCTATCAAATAAAACTTGTTCACATTGTAGTTTCAAAATACCTATGGTGACACATAATCGAAAAATTCGGCTGCACATTTCACGAATCTAATTTTTTTACTCTTCGACGTAGAAATAATATGGTGTCACGTACCACCGTTGGCATCATTGTAGGTCCGTCCATGATGGAGACACGAAGCAATTGGTTGACAAAATTTTTGAACCTGGGCCACACGACTTATCCTAGAAAAGCAAATTAAATCAACCTGTTTGGCTTGGTTCAGTCTGGTTTCATGATTTGATGGTTTTGTACTTTACACTCCTAGCTAACATCTAGAACCATTTTTCACAAGACAAACACTAGAATCATCGTTTACAAGACAAAACCGCCTTCGGTTGGTCCAAAGACCATCGACATAGTAAAATCAGACACCCAAGTTTGTCTTAGTATGAGAAATGATAACATAAAGGGGATGAAATCTAGCTCTCATTCTTCTTCTTCTTCTGGTCTTTTGGTGTATTAACAGGTAGAAAAATGGGGAAGGTAAGAAAGGAAATTGGCGTTCTAAAGCTTGTACGTGCTGGTGGTATGGTTGAACTGTACAAACATCCGATAAAAGCAGCTCAAGTCATGGAAAGATACCCGAGACACTGTGTCGCTCGACCAGATGTCTTCAAGTTCCCGTATATTGTGGTTAAGCCTGAGTCAGTTCTGAAACTTGGCCAAGTCTTTTTCATTGTTCCCCACCATACCATCCATCGCTTGCTTCAATCTAAAGGCTATCGTTGCCACCGCCAATACATACCTGATCACTATGAGGCTGTTAGGAAAAAAGCACAAGAATATGGTCAGCCTTTGATGGAATCTGACTTGCATAGGAGGCTCATTAGACAATCTTCCGACAAGACCCTTGATGATCAGATGGAGAAGATTGATACTTCTTTCTACCACCAGATCATCCCTGTTGAAAATTTTCAAAACAAGAAACAAAGTAATCATGAGCGAAAAGTCGTACCACGAGCTCAACAGGTTGCTGATCTTTCTGTGGAGGAAAATGTAGCGAATGGTGGTTTCAAAGATGGAGATTATGATTCTGATGAAGCTTGTGTTGCTGCTGCTTCTGCTTGCTTCCCTCTGAAAAAGAAGGGTGGCGGACTAGTGGAGGTTAGTAAGGGTAGTGATGGTCGAAAAGCTACTACCACAAGTTTGAAGCCATGCTTGAAAAAGCACCAAACTAGTAGAAAACGATCCCAGCAAGGTCCAAGGGTACGATTCACGTTGCCAGATGAAGATGACAATGATCATGAGAAATGGGACACCGATTTTTCTGATTTTTGAGAGCGCGTTTGTTTATTCTTGGCACACCCTTAATCTGCTCTATAATCCTTATGATCTGGTTTTCTTGTTAACTACCATGGAAGGGTTCAAATCATGGATATATTCCCATCAGGGAAATCCTTGATTGGTATGTAAATTAAGCCATATGTATATGCACACCTATAATAATAATGGCTTGGAATGGTCTGGCCTGCAAAATCTCGAATGATGAATATATAATGCTTGAGAAACCTTCATAAAAACTGCAATGCTTATTGACTCTACCTAAAACCTTTGGTCTTCCTCTAGTATTTTGTAGTTAAGACGAAAAAGAACTGGCAGAAAATGGAAATAGGCCGGAATCAGACTCAAATTCTTTCTAAAAATTAGACGAGAATTAATCAATGATTTTATTTACTGATAAAAATAAGAACAAATGATGCTCCAATAACAATTTACAATTCTATGATTTCATGTTGAAGCTCTGGATATGTTTGTCGAGTGACCCTAGTAAGTATTCTTGATATTTGTCACCGACGATCGCATGCTTGTGTTGAGGTGTTGTTGGTTTTAAAATGGTATCTTGGCGATCTTCGAATTTGAGTGCAATCGAGCTTAGTTTCTTTACCGTGTGCATCTGCTTCTGGTGCTGAATTTTTTCTTGGTTCTTCAATAATGCATCCTTGCTTGAATTATGGCTGTCTAAACTTGGTTTTAGGATGATGGAAGTAGATTGTTCTTGATGATGATCAATCATTTCAACAAGAAAATTCCCTTCCAGTATTCTCAAGACCTGTAAAACCCATAATTTGCTTAAAACACATCAACAAAATTGGGTTTATAGGATGCTAAAAATCTGATGTGTCCTAATAGACGTCTTTACAGGACTTAAGTTTATGAGGCCAAACAGATTTGCTTCCTATGTTGTGTTGCAATAAGTTTATAGAACGTTTTTGGATGACTTAACAAGTTTTTTAGGACAATTTTATAGAACGTTTTTGGATGTCTTAACTAGAAATTGTTATGAACTATCCAGATATCAAGAAAACATTGGCAAGCAACTAGAAGTTGAACACTACAAACCGTAGAAATGTTGTTTTTGAATTAACAACGACATCCAATCCAATCCAATCCGATTTTGTGTTAGAAAAGTGCTAGATCTGGCTCTTAAGATTCGACGAGCTTCCCATTAGTAAATATATAAGGTAAATGCGTTATGAAGTATTAACCTTAGACATTCTTGGCCTTTGTTCAGGGTGAGGCGATATACATAAACTGGCTGCATGCATCATGCACTCCGCTTCTTTCGTATCATACTTGTTATCTAACTTAGGATCAATCATCTCTACACATCCCTTTCCTTCTACAAATAAACGACTCCTCTGAAACCACAAGAATTGACCTCAATTAATCAGTTAAATGAATACATAGGCAATGCAATGTGAATTAATAACTATCTGTTCTTACCCATTCAGGAAAGTACTGCTGCCTAGAGTTTCTAGAGAATTCGATAGCCTTGATGCCTGTTAAGATCTCCAAAAGTACGACTCCAAATGCATATACATCGGCTTTCTCAGATAGCAAACCAGTCTCTATATACTCAGGAGCCAAGTAACTGAAAAAGATTAACAAAATGCTTACTTCATGCTTCTTTAAATCATCTAATGATCTACCAAATTGTTTGAATATATTCTCTAGACAGTTATTTGTAAATAAATGAAAAGGGTTGGTAAAAGTCGTTACCCAAATGCGCCAACAACGCGTGTTTCTTCCTCTAATCGTCCATCTGCCTGCCACCTAGCCAGTCCAAAGTCTCCTACCTAGGTTTAAAACATGTCATTTTATCTTTATAAAGTAGAAATCAGAACCAGAAAACCAATGGATGACTGACCATGGGCTCAAAATCGTGTGTTAAGAGTATATTGTTAGGCCTGAAATCTCTATGAACTATGCAGCCGACCCGGCAATCTTCGTGAAGATATCTTAACCCTCTTGCAGCACCACAAGCAACTTTCATTCTATTCTTCCACGACATCACCTCATCTGCCTCTGTTTCTGTACACATCATATCAAGTTTCTTAATATAGCTCTTGTGAGAATCTGCGAAACCTCATTAGACTTGTCTCCAAAAGGGCCTATGAGGAGAGAAGGGAGTTCCAAAATATATCGAGGAAAAATGGTTCAAGTCTAGTAGACAATGTGGGACTCTAGCTAATAGGTGTCTCAAAGGATATGAGCAGCCTTTTAGACAAGAGGGAAGGTTCCACTTATGTACAGGTTTGATGGTCCGTGTCTAGCCGATATTGGCCTCTGAAACACTTCCTCAAACGGAGGTGAAAGAGTGTGTTGAGGCCCTAACAGGTCTGAAATGGAATATATAGACCCTGGCTCGAATACCACGTTGTGCAACCCCTTTGAATCTCTCTCTAAAAGAGTCACTATGAAGTGATAAAAATATATAGAAGTTTCATGGTCCATGTCTAGCTGATGTAGGATGCCAACTTACTAATTTACTTATATTGGAAGGCTAAAGATGGAGTTAGAGAGAGACCCTTACTGTATAAGTGTTTGTCTAAAGATCCATTACAAGCATACTCATATACAAGCAGCCATTCCTTCTCAATGCAGTACCCAATCAACATAACCAGATTCTTGTGTTGTGCACAGCTTAACACTTCAACCTCGGAACAGAATTCAGCTGCACCTTGTGCACTAACCATTTTGCGCTGCTTCACCGCCACAACCTGTCCATCACTCAAAATGCCTCTATATACCTGACCATATCCACCTTCTGCCAAAAAGTTGTTTGCTGAGAATCCATCGGTTGCTCTCTCAATCTCTTCGTAGCTGAACCTTCGTGGGGATCTCCCTAAAACAGGAGCACTAAGCTTGCACACAGAACAAAGAGGGGGTGGCATTGGTGGCCTTTTTAGTGAGAGAGACATGTCCCTTCTTACGCTCGAGATTCTGTCTATGGTTGGTTTATTTGCATGACTGAATGATACCCTTCTTGTAGCTACTTTCCCTGACTCATTTTGATCCCTTTTTCTTTCGCCCAACTGTCGAAGATCTACTGACCACCTTGCTGCATGTGGTATTGTTCCCATTTCTGTTTTCATGCTTTCATTTCTGGTCATATCTGTTCTAGATCCAGAAAAAGAATAAGAGAAGAAAGTAACAACAAAATAAATGAAGCATCCATCGATTGGTTAGCTAGCTCACCATCTTTTACTCTCGGAAAATTGCCATTTGCATCCGTTCTTTCTTCAATAGGGCCAGACATCGATCTGTGAGGAACCTTCATCTCAAACCCTGTAATCTGGTTCAATTGTTGTGATTTTGGATACTGCTTCGAACGAGGAGGTGTGTACTTTGCAACTGGAGGGAGGATCTTCTTTTGGGGAACATGTTCGGTCGTAGTGGATGATGAAATGTTTTGTTTGTTAAAAGAATTCGGAGTGAGATCTGATGAGGAGTTCCGAGGGTTAAAGATAGAGAAGAAAAATAAGAAGAAAAGCAACCACAAAATAACTGAAGCATCAATCAAATGATAGCTAGCTCACCATCTCTAACTCTCAAATGGTTGCCATTTCCATTCGTTCTTTCTTCTATAAGGCTAGATATCGATCTGCGAGGAACCTTAATCTCAAACTCAGAAATCTGATCCAATTGTTGTGATTTCGGGAACTGCTTGGAGCGAGGAGGTGTGTTCTTTGCGACTGGAAATAGTCTCTCTTGAGGAACATGTTCAGTGGTAGTGGATGATGAAGTGTTTTGTGTGCTAAAAGAACTTCGAGTGAGATCTGATGTAGTTATAAGACTGGTGTTGTTAACTCGGTTCTCTGTTGGAAAAGCACCTAGCATATCAGCCTTAGTCGGGACCAGCTCTTCTTCGATCTTCATGGTAAGCGGGAAGTTCACTGATCTAAGAATCTTATGAAGGGATCCGTCTATGAGGACGACATTGCAATCCAAGTACTGCTTTAAACAACAATCTGCTTCGCTCTTCAAACGTCTGCGCCATTCACATAGAACATATAAGAAAACACTAGATTACAACCATTTTTATCGATTCAGATATGCATACTTACTGATCAAGAATCACCCATCTTGCATGTAGCTCTGTTGCTATCGTCGCGATTGACCTGACTGGGGCATACGCTACGACTTTTACTTCAGTATGAACCTGGATTCATCATTCTAAATGCGTCAGCTTGTGCCAACCATGAAAGGTTGTGATGGTTCAAACTCTATAAATACAACTCCAAAGGAAAGGGTACCTTGACTACTTTGTGAAGAGAGAAGAGATGGTGTATCATCTCTTCACACACATTATATATTCTTTGCGGTATATCGCGTCCCTCGTCTACAAATCCAACCTTACGATCAGACACTTCGTTTTTCACAGCACTACGTTTCTTCAGCAGACCTATTAATTTAAACCGAAAAGGAAGTTAGAAAACACACATCAGATTCAAAAACTTAATCAATCAGAAAGTTGTCTTACGAAAAAAGAATCCCTTAGAACTGTGATGGGGTTGAGTAATCTTGAGCGGAAATGGATTATATTCGTGAGAAGGGAGAATCGCAACTAGGATTAGCGAATCCATTGGCTTGATCACATTTCGAACAGCCCATTCGAGTGCATAATCCGTAACCTCTCTACCCGCCTCGATGCTCACCAGTATCACCTGACCAACCATTTTAAGTCGTAACTACGACACTGCAAACTTCTGTGAGCTCACCAAGATCATCACCTAACTGAACCAGAAGACCTTTGGAAACCTCCATACAACTATAAATACAGAATTTCTGGAACAGTTTGATTCAGGTTATAAGTTTTCTCTATCTTTCCTGTCTTCATCATATTCATTCTTTATTCCTTAAGTACAATCGAGCTATACAAATGGCACGAACTGGAAGCAGGTAGACTTGTATGAACGAGTGAAAAGTGGTGTTTTCTGTTTGTTTTCTAGCTGATGGTATTTGATTCTTTTCCCTAGCAATCAATTCTAAATGCAATTCAAAGCATAAAAAATGATATCCTCAGTGTTTTCTCATTGACCTATTCTATACTGCAGTTCTTGCACACCATCAATGTTTTTCTTTAATTCGTGGACGAGCGAACTAGTTTGTGCACACCTTAATTAATCCTCGAGTAAGGAGAGATAACAGCCAGAAAAATACAGCGTAAGCAGCCCCGAAAATTGTGTCGGGTGAATCGATCATTTAAACGCCGTTTTTGTTTTTATGCTTTGTATGGCATTATATGTTAAAAGTATGTTTCAATCTTGCACCCTCTCAAAAATATGTTTAGGTTTTCATTTTTTTAACAAATATACCTCCAAATATGCCTCTTGATCCTTTTCTCTTCCTATATGTTTTCCACACTACAATAAAATTAGGTTTATAGGACGCTCCCAATCTTGAAGTATCCTGATAGACTGCTTTATAGAACTTAATTTATAGGACCAAAATATAAACCGTCGTATCTAAAGGCGTTGTAATAAGTTTATATGACGCTTTTGGGCGTCTTAACAAGTTTTTGAGGACATTTTTGATACAAAGTGTCGCATTAGCAACTTTATAGGACACTTTTGAGAAATTGTCCTATAAACTCAATTTTTTATAGGACACTTGTTTTTATAGGACTACTTTTCAAATAGTGTAATATAAAGTTGATAATGAGACGCTTTATATTAAAAGTGTCCTAAAAAACTTATTACGACATAAAAAAAACGTCATATAAACTTAATACAACAACTTTAGATAGGACACTTTATGTTTTTGGTCCTATAAAGAGGTCTATTAGAATGTTTAGAATTTGGGAGCGTCCTATAAACCCGATTTTGTTGTAGTGATATGTGTAAATCTCATGAACATTAAAGACAACTAAAAATCTTCACAATAATATATTCATTTGTGTTTAATTTCAAAGTATTATATGATAAATGTTTGTAGTCTGCACCTTTAATTGGCTTTTACTTCTCTCAACTCCATCTCCATGCCTCCCTCTAAGAGTTCGTCTAAAAGGACACCGGACACGAAAGGGTTACAATTTATGGTTGCGAAAGGTTTGATAGGGTTACGATTTCTGGTTATGAAAGGTTACGACGATAAGGTTATGACTATAGAACATGGTGGGCATCATCATGAATATAGCCGACATCAAAATCCATCGGTATTTCGAAAGATTACCAAGGAGCACAAACAAATGCGTAACCCAAAAGAATAGAGACGATTTTTCGACTGATTACTAGGAGACTGTCGATGAAGAAAAATAGTCAGTAATCCGTAGCTTAGCTATTTGCTGACGAATTACCTTGCGACAACATACGATAATCGGCAATTAATGCCAATGGTTTTTATTATTTATTTATTTTATAGGTTTGTATCGCTAATCCATCCGTGGATTATCTAGCTTACCGACGGATTATCGAAGTAATTTCATTTTATTGTAGATTTATTTCTTTTGATGAAAACCATAAAAAATGTGCATAAATTACCAACGGATTTCCGTTAATCATATATTTTATATAATTTTATCACTACAAAACAGAATGACTTCACCGACGGAAAAATCCATCAGGGAAAGTAGGATTTGTCGGTGAAAGTTTGTTGGAAAGAATATGGTGGGTAAAGCCATCATCGAAGGAGGATCACTGATGGCCAACTTCATCGATGGATCACTGAAGATATTTTTTACCAATGGATAACTGATGGCATGGCAGGTACTACTAATGGATCACCGACAACTACCTTTACCAATGGATTTCCAGGGACCTCCATTACCAACAGATTTCCGAGGACCTCTATTACTGACAGAATATCCATAGGTAAAATTTGATTTAAATAATAATAACAATTAAATTCACTCATATTTTCCTGTACGAATACACATATCATGTAAATAATACTTTTTATACGAACAAGCTCAATTTTCTAAAACGTTATTCGATCAAAAAACAATATACATACACACAATATCTAGCTAGATCCTAGAGGTAGAGGGGGGAATCTAACTATCGTCTCCTTGTAGCTATGTAATCATGCCTCTAGAAACGTCATCCTCATCACTCATCTGAACCAGTGTCACGAGTCTAACATAAACACATAAAATCGTTTAGGTGAGCACAGGTCGGTGACAACATCGAATTTTCATGTTTTAATATGTGTTTATAAGCTCAGAATCCCTACTTTTATGTCTTAATAGGCTTGAATTATGTTTTATAAGCCTAATCTGAATCCTATGTTAATCAGGGCAAGAAACGAGTGAGAAAATGCGAGAAACAATGGTTGGCGTGTAAAGGGGGTTGTATGGAACAAATGGTCAAAGAAAGACATAATGCTACCCTATCATGCAAGGATTACATAATTGATAATGGACTTATGGTATACTAAATGCTACCTTGACATGCTACCCTGCCATGCCATACCAAGGTTGCACACAAGGGTCGCATATAGTATCTAGACTTACGATACACAAAATGCTACCCCGACATGTAAGGGTCGCATAATTTACTGCAGGGACCAATTTCTCCAATTTTCGAATCTTGAGCAAGTTTGCCATTCTCTTGGTATAAAATAAGCTTGGAACCTTCATTTGAATCGAGGTTCGACAAGAGATCATTTGAGAGACACGAAAGGAGCGATTGGAAGCATCAAGCATCAATCTCTGCTCATTTTTGGTAATTTCTCTTTGATTTTGATTTGTAAACCCTAGTTTAGCCATGTCTGGCTAATTTCACTCATTGCAACAACAGTCAATCTTTTGGTTTTGATGCATTTACTTTTAGATTCCATTCTAATTAATAAGGACAAGTTTATTTGTTGGATTTCCATGTTTAATGATTAATTTTACTTGAATGTTGATCGATTTGGCCAATTACTTGATGCTCATGTGAATGCTTGTTAGTCAAAAACCTAAATACATAATTGTCTAGAGATTTTGATAAAGATTGAACCTATATGATACCAATAAGGTTTTCGACACGGGTTCTTGAAATCTTGCAATCAAGGTCATTTAAACCGAGCTTACGAGCTTATAACTTTGAATTGGTGTTTTTCTCACTCGATAAAGCTAATTGCACCTAGAGTTTAAACTCTTATTTGTTAGTGATCCGTTGGTAAATGTTAAAATCATCAAAGGATTACAGACGGATTAAACTTCTATCGGAAAATTTTAAGTGGTCGTGTATTAACAGGTGATCCGTCGGTGATCATTGATTTTTTTTCGTCGGTTAATTTTGGCTGGTGATACTGTATTTTCTAATAATGTATTTCTTTAATTGATTTTTTTTCTAAACTTCGTAGGTAATCCAAGATGTTATTTTGTCTTGATTGTTTCTATTTCTAAATGGATGGTATTGAGTTCTAATGGTCTTGACGATAGGTTTTAATAAGTCACTTTTAACGTCGGTCTTCACTTAGAATACCCGTTTTGATGTCTGACAACGGAACTCTCCACAAATCACGTTGTTAGCAATACGTACGTAGACGACATCATGGACAAGTTCCAAGCCAAGTTCAAGGTCTTTCTAATTTGAAAAACTTGACTTCACACGACATCCCAAATTAATCGTGTACATTCAAACGTACGGTAAGTTTTCTTCCATTCATCCACTTGGGTGGTTAAGCTTTATGGGACGTAATGGAAATCTTATCTTCCTTGGGTTTTCAAATCTAGGAGCTGGCCATAAAGTTTCACGTGTGATGAATTCAAACCACCATCCATGGTATCCCAAACGTTTACTGTTTCATTATCTGATGGATTACATGCCAGTTTTTATGAAGTGATCATCGAACAAGTTAATATTACGCAAAAAATGGGTCTATTTTCACTGTTTATAGTACAAACTTGAGAAGACAAAACACGAGTGAAAGATGGAAGAATTTTGAACTCTCTTCGTTTTAATTCTGCTTCCATTTTCATTAGCAATGAAAACCAATAATACAATACGTATACGTGTTCAAACATTATTCTTCTACTCTTAGCCCTCTGAACTTGAACCATGGACCCTCTCATCAGTCATCTTGGAATTCAGTACTGTAACTTCTTGAAGTAAACCTCGAAATTGTACTTTTAAACCTTTGAGTTTCGAACTCGTCGCCACTTTCGTCTGTCAATTCTATGTCGCTGCCGTAGTCGTCACCCTTCGAATCAGATTTACGCATGCTCCGCTTTTGCTTTACTGAGTTTTGATCATCTTTAGGTTTTTTATAGCTTTTCTTGCTGAAACTAGAATCTACCCTTTTCGTGCTTGGCTTTATCGAGTCGGTTCCTTCTGTTTTGAACATGACTTTCTTCTTGCTTCTCATTCTTGATTTTGATCTAGGGTTCATCATGATTGATGTGTTCTTCTTGTCTTCATCTGAGAATTCCTCCTCGCTATAATCATCTTCCGCATAGACACTTCCTGATGAACTGTCAGAACCATCATCCAAAGTAGTTTGATCTATATGACTAGATGTTGCTTCCGCCTCTAGCACTGGCTCCGGCTTTGGCTCGGGCTCTGGTTCGGGCTCTGGCTCTGTATCCGAATCTGAATCCGAATCTGAATCTGATTCCAAATTTAGCTCTAACTGCGGCAATGGCTCCGGCAACGGCTCCAGCTCTGGATCTGTCTCTGGCTCTGGCTCCAGCTCTGGATCTGTCTCTGGCTCTGGCTCCGGCTCCGACTCCCAGTCATGCTCCTCCTGTTCCCATTCAGGCTCCTGTTCCCACTCAGGCTCCGGCTCCGACTCAGGCTCAGGCTCAGATGGCTCTGGCACGGGCTCTGGCCTGGGAGGGGGTAGTAGCTCTGCCCATGACACGTGCTCAGTTTCTGAATCTGACGATGAGTCAGAATCCGACGACGATAAGTCTTCTTTCTTGGCTAGAGCATCCTTATCGGCTACTGGTGTTGACGGAAACCCTTCCGGTGGAACTAATGTGAGGAAGCTAAGAGCTCCTACGATGTCAGAGATCAAGGGACGAACGCTCGACTCCTCTTGCAGACACATCGCCGCCACTCCGACCGCTTGGTTCAACTTCTTTTCTGGAATTATTCCTTTGAACATAGGATCAGCCAACTCTTGAAATCTCTTTGGATCTTTAAAATATGGTTGTGCCTGTTTCAGTTCAAGTAACAAAGTTCATATGGAAAAAAAACCCTTTAATTTCCGCAAAAGGAAGCCCTCGCTACTGTAAAATTGGATTTATAAGATACCAAAAATGTCTAAGCGTCCTAATAAACTGCTTCATAAGACTTATGTTTATAGGACCAAACAATAAAACGCGTTATCTAAAGGTGTTGTAACAAGTTTATAGAACATTTTTGGCGTTGTAAAACCCTAAGAAAGGCAGAATTAGAAAGATTACCCAAGCCACAAGATTTTGCTCATTTGCAGGAAGAGAGGTGTCCAATGCTTTTCTCCCAGTGATAAGCTCCAATAGAATTACTCCGAAGCTATAGACATCGGCTTTACGGGTTAGCTCACCCGTACGTTCAAATTCTGGAGCACAACCAACTGTACCGACCACCCTTTGCCGCAAATCGGATGAACTTTCTAGATTCACGAGCCCGTAATCTGTGATCCTCGGTTCAAAGTTCTCATCGAACAAAACATTTGTGGACTTCACGTTGCGGCACAAAACCGGTGGATTAACCTTCTCATGCAAATACTGCATAGCTTGTGCAGCTCCTGAGATAGCTTTCATCCTTGCGATCCAATCTATTGGTTTTTTGCCTTGGGGAAGTTCTGTCATTCAAGTTAACAAAACCATTAAGATCTTATAGATTAACACCAAAAAAACGTTATATCTAAAAATGTTACAACACGTATAGAACGCTTTTAGCTGTTTCAACAAGTTTTTTGGACGCTCTTAGAAAAAGCGTCATAACACTTTTAGATAGATAGCTTAGATGTTTTAAACGTCCTATAAAGCCAATTTTGTTGTAGAGCGTATAGTTAGAGTCGTTGACTTATAATTAGCACGGCCAAAGAGAAAAATACCTAGGACATGATCTTTAAGCGAACCCTTTGGCATGTAATCGTAAACCAAGACTCTTTGATCTCCTTCAGCGCAATATCCGATAAGTTCCACAAGATTCGGATGGCGAAGGTTACTCAACTTCATAACTTCGACTACGAATTCCTTTCTTGCTTTTGTGTTACGTCTGTCAAGTTGCTTCACAGCCACAACCTAAATTCATGGATGCACATTAAAATTATATCAAGTTATGATCATATACACAAATCCTTTCGCGGTTGAAGAACCGCGATTTCCTAGATACAATCTGTTTTCGTTAATGGATTCGCGGCAGAGAAGCAGTAAAATGAGTGTATTGCTCACCTTGCCATCAGCCAAAGTTCCCTTGTAAACTTTTCCAAATCCGCTTTCGCCTAGAAGACATTCTCGCTTGAAATTATTGGTGGCAGAGGCCAACTCTCGGAAAGTAAATCTACGTGCTGAACCTTCATTCGCGAAACTATCATCATCGTCGTCATCGTCATCGACATCAACAGCAACCGCAGCAACAGGTACACCACCGTCACCACCACCTCCACCACCACCACCGCCTTGTTTCTTTTCGTCTACATTTTTAACTGCAACCAAAGAGAATCAAATACAATTTGTTCAGTCACCTGGAAACTTTTCATCATCTTTCATTTTCTCTTACAAAATGCATCAAGAAATGAGGATCCTTTTCACCCTTCATCGGCAATACAGATTAATTATCCACACTATGAAGCATACATACATACATACATACATACATACATACATACATACATACATACATACATACATACATACATACATACATACATACATACATACATACANCATACATACATACATACATACATACATACATACATACATACATACATACATACATACATACATACATACATACATACATACATACATACATACATACATGCATACATGCATACATACATACATACATGCATACATACCAGAAGAAGGTTGTTTAGAAAGGGGATCTTCTTTAGGTTGTGCCACAGGCAACTCTTCATCTTCCTTCTTTTCTGATTTCTTTTCCTCAGAAGAACTTTTTCCTCTAAGGCATGGCAAACAATTCATTCTTTATGCTTCAAAATTATATGTCAAATAAAATTTTAAAAAAAAGAAAAAGAAAAACACACGAAGAACAAACGATCTCGCAGAGCCAAAAAGAAAATGAAAATTAGGGTTTTTTTGGATGTTCTTGTTGCTAAGTATTTTCTGGGTGTTCTTCAATCAAACCAAAAACAATATCACCATCTTCTCCACTCCTGTAAAACTCCATTGATCCATGATTTGATTCACAGGAAGCATATAGACAGACTGAAGATATATATAAATATATAACTATAAAATGTATAAAAATCTACGTATTTAATTCCTGTAAACGGAGGGGATGGAAGAAAAGAGGATGAAGAGGGTCCTCCAGGCTCTGAACAGAGGGACTTGAAGGACCCCAAATGCACGAAAACGTATAAGAGTCTATGAAAATGAAACATTAATTAGGAGAGGACAAAAGAGTGCTATGGCTTCCAGAAAGCTTTTTGGATGGAGAAATTTCTGGAGATTGTGTGGACATTATATTCTCATAGCTATCTTTCCTTTTTCTTAGTAATCAGATATAAAATTACTGAACAAAACTTGTAGTCCCGCGTAGCATCGATTATCGATGGACGTTATTTTGATTTCTAAGTATATACATTGTACGTAAGTCGTGTTAACTCTCACATTTCTTGATTGATTTCATCGTTCTGGCTCGACAAGAGACGTAATTGGTTCTATTTTTCTCTTATTTATCGTCTGAGAAAAGGCGATCAACGTCTTAATCTTCACAAAAACACTCGTGTTATGAACTTGGTGAGACTCGAACCCCTTAGACATCCCGTAATAAGATAAACTAGATATTTTGGTCCTTTCTTACATCCGAATTTCTGTTGCTACTCCTTTTATCTTATTCTTCGGCCTAACTAGATTAGTATGATAAAGAAATGCCTAGGGCGGGTCGGGCACTTGCCTCACACCACTGTATATATGTGTATATGGATTTAGGATCACGTGAGAGCACATTGTTTTCATGAGACCGTGAGACCATTTTTTTACACTTGAAACTTCCCAGCAAAATGCTGTGAGATTAACCTTCACAGTGTTTTGTTGTGAAAGTTTAACTTTTTTTTTACCTTCACGATGTTTAGTTGTGAAGTTTCAAGTGTAAAAAAGTGGTCTCACGGGTCTCACGACAACAAGTTGGTCTCACGTGAACCAACCCTATATGTGCGACTTCTTATGTATAGTATTAATTCATAAAACTTAGTTCATAAAAATAGATCCAAATTTTTTTGTGTACGATTAGAGCCCGAAAATAATCTAGTAGAAAACGACTCATATATGTGTTAACGAAGTAGATAGACCAAGTTTCATAATCATTTGTTTTCTATCATTTCTCTTTGTTTTTCTAAGTCCTTTTTCGTACTATTAGTTATTGCTATGTTTATCAACTTGACTACTTCATAGCTTTGTGCTTCAATATTTCAACATATTAACAACTTTTAATTTTAACCATTTATTATATGCTTTTATCGGCATATTTTTCTACTTTTACTTCTATTTGTTTCAGATATTTGTTTGACTGCTTTTGTTTCTATTGGCTATTGTCATTTGCTTATATTATTTGTGTAACTTATGTAGGCTATGTTCATATGCTTTAGTTTCTATAATTGGTATCATACTACTGTTTCACGGTTATTGTTATTTGATGGTCTATCTATTTTTTATGGCGTGTTTTGTGATTGATTAATAAGCTTTGCTCGTTAAATGCATTTAGTCAATTCACTACAAAACCGAGGACTATCAGCGACCAAAAACTCCGTCGCTAAAGGTAGGATTCATCGTGATAGTTCATGGATCAAAGATGGTGGCTAATACTATCAGTGACGGACATTAGTGATGAATCAACGACGAGAATAATTTAGTAACTTAGTGACGGACGGTTATCAGCGATAGATTAGCGAGGAAAATCTATTAGCGACAAAACCATTTAGCGATGCATAGCGACAGAACCTTTTACCGACGAATTACAACATAATCATTTAGCGATGGATTAATGAGACTTTAGCGACAGATTAGCAGACACTAGAAACTTTTTGCAACGGATTTTCCTTCACTAATCCGTCGCTGATTTTTAATGATTTAAAAAAAAAATTACATATTTCTTGTATTTTTTATACAAAACATGCCCATAAAATAAAGAACCAAAATTGTCCAACAAATAAAATAATCAATTCATACAATGAATAGATCCGATTGCAACTTCGAAGATGGTTCGAATCCCTCCTCGCCCACAACCGTCCCAAAGCGAAGCTTTTGGTTTTTCATGTTGTCAAAGAGTTGAACAATAGTTTTTCATGTTTTTCTATTTGGGTTGCTAACTCAATCGTAGAGTACTCGGCTTTTAAGTACGTCTAGAATCTTTTACACAGTTAGATGATTTAAAAACTCTTCGAACTCTAAAATTCAATTTTTTGAGTTCGACTTTAAGGTCGGGCCTATGACAAGAATGTTTTTTTGATTGGGGCGATAGATCTGAAAAGACAGATTGCCTATCTTTTCTTTTATCTTGCGGGAAATACGATCAGAAGGGGCTAATTCAAAACCCTCTGGTAAAATAAGAACAACCCCTACATTCAAACCCCCTTAAATACCAAATTCATATAATCTAATGTCTGACACTTTGCTCCCAAAAAGATGCCTCATCAGGTGGAAGGGTGTCGGGCTCACACTAGACTATAACTCACCCCTAAGCGATTAAAATCGCTGTTATGGTTTACCAAGACAAAAACGGGTTAGCTTATATACGTAGACAACTTATATATGTAGACATTTTAGCAACATACATTTGTAAATCAAACGTATCCAATGTCTGTTTTTAACAATTAAAACATTTTAATTACCAATGGTAGTCCTATTCTCAACCAACATATCTATTTAGCCCAACTTCTGCCCAACAATAACAACTCAAACTAATAGCATCATTATGTTTATTAAAATATATTACTTTAAACCTACTAAACATATGTATAAAACAAAATAATGGTTTTTAAAAGCTTACATAAAACCTAGCTGCTTTGAGGTAATTGAACTGAGGAGGATCAGTAGGCGTGACGGACGAACCCAGAGCGAACTTCCAGTTTATATAGTGGTACGCTCAAACACCTCAGTAGTAGTTGGCTCACGACCTAATACTTGTGCCTACATTATACAATTAAGTAAGTTGTTAGTAAACATAGAGAACTAATAACATATTTAAAAAAGTTGTATATTCACTATCTTGTGTCGATGCTGTGTGGTACTGATTAATCCTCCTTTGTGCGTAGACGACTCATCCTCAAACTCGATGTTCCGATTGGACTTATTGATCATGAATTTCCTTTTATAACTCTCGGTATCCCACACCTGTTAAAAATATAACACATAAGTTGGTACATAAGACATGGCAATGCAAAAAGCTTATAATAAAGATAAATACTTGGTCAATCATCTAGACCCAAAACTTTCTAGTATCCAGGAAGGGTGGTGTAATCTAATGCATGAGAAGTCCTCACATTTCCATTGCCTCCGCCAATCATCGAGATAGGCCTGCGCTATAGCTGAATCATACAACCATCATCCAATATGAGTACCTATTATGCATGGTTATGTTCTATAAATCAAGGACCACGTGATCCAGCTTTGGTTCCCACTGGAACTTACCCTACACATACAAAATTTGTATCTAGGTAAAAACAATAATATGATATGTATAATTACATTGAAAGGGTATGCCAACCTGAAAGCGCTGGAACATAAAGTCACGGGCTTCCGGAGGAACTTCCTTCCAACGATGCCATAAATCACCAAAGGAAGACCTAAATATATATGTCATCTCCCGAAAAACATGGTCATCTTCAAACCTACACAATTAAAAATTATATACAATATAAAAGGAATTCATATCATTTTATTATGTAATACGAAGCCTTATACCACATCTATTTATCCCTTGCCCAACAATCCAGACGTGGTCGTTGGCTCAGATGATTGGGTGTTAGCATCGAAAGGTTGGGGCCTCTCCTCGACCCCAAACTAGTCGAAGGTGGGGCCTCCATCTCCATATCCTGCTCATCGAGATCCTCGAGGCCGATGGTCGGGATGGTACCATCCATAAACTCCTCCATGTCATCAGCGTACGAGTATCCATGCCTGCCAGTAGAGTTTATGCCCCTACCAGACATGGGGCTACCTCTACTACCCTGACGGCCTCTAGCATGCTCTCTGCGTGACATCTCCTAGAAAAATGAACATTAAGTTCTATCCAAATAAAGATAATAACAATCACAATTATACAATTATGAAATAAACATACAAAAGACAAGCTACTCATCAGAAGAATGATCACATAATATTGGTTCATCTTCGTCATTTGAATCATCATCTATGTCTTTAAATTCTGGTTCATTCTCGCTATCTTCATTTCCCGGTCCATCATGCTATCATCATTCAATTTAATATTATCAAGTAACTGAATTGAGCTCGTTCCCCTATGTGAATGTCATATGAGTTACCCTTTCGTTGATTTGAAAAAATTATTCACCATCCACATTATCATTACCTTCAACATTGTTAATCACGTATGACAGTTCGTATATGCCACGAGCCTCTTTGAAGGATATGAATTATAGTAGACTTGTTCTACCTGTGATGCTAGGACGAACGGGTTGTCAGATCTGAGTCTAGACTTATATTTGATATTTACCAAATTGTGTTTATTCTAACCCCTGAGGCAATATCAAACCAAGTGCATTTGAACAGCACAACTGCCTGTCGCACTGCCTATAATATTCCACCTCTATAACATCATCTAACATTCCATAGAAGTCAGACTCACACTCGTCATAGCAGGCCTTCCTAATATAAATACCATTATTATGGGTAAATCTGACCAGATCCATGGATTACCATATGAAACTTTTTGCATTCATGAAGTATCCTTGATGTCGGTGGCATAACATCCTAGTCCCCATGCTAGGGATTTCAATTGCTCAATT